GCATTTATAATGGGAAAAAATAGGATTTTTAAAAATATTTCCTTGCCAGAATACATCTATATCTGAAAATGCGTTTATTATGTGAGAGAAATAATAAACACCTGGGGTTTGGTTTAAACTACTTCAGAAAACAAAAGTGGGGGCAAGAGAAATATATTTAAAAAAATCTTTGGCAATTGTAGATAACTGCTGAAGCAAGGTGTTGGGTACACAGTTGTTCAATGTATTCTTCTCTATATTTTGTACAAGTTAGAAAATTCGAAAATAAAAAAGTAAATAAACTGCTTGAACTACCTCTCCTTCAAGCCCTTTTAATGCAAGATATATCCGTCATGTGCCTACATGGATTTCTCCCTTTTCTGAAGCCTATCTGTATGACTCATTTTTTACAATTACTTCTTATTTTGTTACTTTAAGTCTTCATGTATATATTTCCTTACACAAAGGACTATAAGACATAGTTCTTGCTATCAAAGAGTTTATAATCTTACCTCTCTTAAATCCAACACATTCAGTTAACAAGCTCATTTACCAAATGCCCACTATGAGCCAGATACTCTTCCCAATGCATGGGATACAAACACCAATGTCTAGCCTCAAAGAGCTCACAATGTAGTAGAATACAGTTAGATGGGTTTCTCTAAAAAAATCCCAATTATTCTTCCTAGGAAAAACTTTCACTGGCTCACCACTGCAAAAAAATAAAATTAAGCTTCTTTACCTTGACTCTAATGTCCTTTACAATGGACCTGAGTGCCCTTCGAGTCCAAATACACCTATTTTCCAATTCTGCACATTTGCAATTTTTCCAATTCCAAGCATATTTCTCACGATGTGCCTTTCAGTATGCCATTTCCAAAGCATGGAAAACTGTACTAAATCCCTTCTGTAGATCTGAACCCCAACAATCCTTTAAAGGCCCAGCTCAAGTTCTACTTTCTCCACGAAGCACTTCTGGTCAGTATACACTTTGCCTCTAAAATCCTGCAGCACTAGTTGCTTATATACTATTCCTTTAGCAATTAATGAATGTGACATGTATCTTCTTGTAGTCTCCACAACGTCCAACACAATGCCTTGCCTACAGAAAGCGTGCAGTAAATATCTTATTACCAATTTACTTAATTACCTTTGATATCTAAAGTGATAGAGCAATGAGGGTCAACAGAGTCACAGAGTGTCCTCTGGGCCAGTCTCCCAATGCCAACAAAGAGCTGAGTTGGTCTATAGTACTATAGTATTGATCTGTACTACTGAATCAAGCATTTTAGCTGCTTAATTCCTGGAAGACTTTGGGTGTAGAAGTAGAATTGAAGGCTTAAGTAACTTCATTAGAGATCTGTGAAAGTCCTGTCCTGAGTCCAGAAGGCTTAAGTAACTTCATTAGAGATCTGTGAAAAGTCCTGTCCTGAGTCCAAAAAAAGAAGGGAAGAAAGTTGAACATCAGAATAAGTTTTCTATGTATTTTAATTTAAAACCAAAGATGACTAACAGTGTGATAGCTCTGAGAGGGGCTTGTCTAATCACTTCCAATTTGGGGTCTATAGTTTTAAATAGGAACCAACTCATGTCTCAAAACTCAATTAGTGTGTTAAACTGAGGAAGTGTTCCTAAGTACCTCAAAGTTTTTCTCCCCTTTTTGAATGCTATGGGAAAAGAAGAAACTTATTGTCTCTTCATGTAAATGAGTTGGTTGGAGACAAAGTATTTCCAAATATCTAAGAGAAGAAAACACTACTGTTGCACTTACCATATTGTAGTTTAAGTATCTGTTTGTGAACCTGTCTCTCCGATCAAACCATGAGCTCCTCAAGAGCAAGGAATCAAGGACTGGATATCTTGTCTTACTCATCTTTGTATATCCTAAGTCTAACAGCCTGGCACACTGAGGGACTCAATAAATGCTCTCTCAATTAATGAATGAATTCCACCTTAGGTTAAAACATGTTCAAAATGCCACAGCCTGTTAAAAAGTAATGGAAAGAGGTTAAATAATATATTGAAATGCCACAGCCTGTTAAAAAGTAATGGAATGTACAAATCATATGCATGTTACATTTAAGCAGACCACGCACAATCTATTGATATTCTCCTCCTTCAGAACCATTTCCAATGGCTGACGTAAAATCTTCTTAAATTATTCCATTTTATCCCTGGTTTTTTCAGTCTTTTCTACTTCTTGGATGGAGGAAAAACATGGAAAAAAAATCCTGTCTTGCTTCGATACGAGATCTTTCCTCAATGTCCCTGTCTGTTTTAATTGGTTCCTGCTTTTTTATTACCCATTAGCCAATTAAGAAACCAAAGAGTCAGTTGAGAGAATAATTATCAAAGAATGGAAGCTTCAGGATCAGAGTCAGGGGAGAGTGCATGTGTACCTTAATCTTCCCAAACATTCATCACGAATCACTGTCAAAATTAAAAGGTACTATGAAAAATAAAAATACTATACACATATATATGCAATTGAGGCTACCTGGAAACAATTTTTGGTATGAAATTGTTTTTTCATGTTACGTATTCTTTTTTTAAGGCATAAATATTAGATATTGATACTGGAAAAAAAAATGACTGAGAATCAGCAAACCATTTGGTCAAAAGAAGGAGCATCACACCCTCATATACAAGGTTATGAGATGATGGTGACAAAGGGAAACATTCTGCTGAAATAGCTCAAAGGTAATCAAGTTAAATACTGTTCACATTTTATCAGAGAAAAGTGCTGACAAAAATATGAACTATTCATAGCAAAGTTCTCTAATATACTGTATCTCCAGAAGTATATAAAGCAACCTTGAAATATATAAGGGAAATAGTACCAGTAACTCATCTCTACAATGACATAAGAGTTTAGAACATACCCCAATTTGACTTAAATATATGAGTTTATCAACAATCTGTACATCATTAGCCCAAAGAATTAAAAAAAAAAAAAAAAAAATCCAACAAACCTAAACAAGCAGCCATACCTTTTAACCCTTTCTCTTATTTCTTCTAGTTATGATTTCAAAGCATACCCAATTATTAACATAGTCGATTTAGCTGTAATTTGTTCTCTTTTAAAATGAACATTCTTTAAAAGAATGGTGATTGTTTAAAAAAAATTTTAAGTCATGCCGTCCTTTGACCCAACAATCTACCTCTCAAGATAACTGGAAACAAAACATACATAAGAAAGAATGTTTACAGGGACATTTTTTACCATACTTAAAAACCAGAAGCAACATAAAACTCAATCAATTGAAGAGCATACAGCTATTGAAAATAAAGAGCTATAATTAGTGACATTAAACATAACATTTATTAACCTTAAAAAACAGATTATAATATCTAAAATAAAACTGTATACATGTATCTGTATGCAAAATTCAAAAATATCTTCAGAAGAATTATCTCTGAGTGCTGGGATTTTATGAGATTTTTATACTTTCTTTGCAAAAAATTTTATAAAAAATCATGAGCTTGTATCATTTTAAAAATAAATTTTAAAAACATATATACTATTTTCAGTACATATTATATAGTGCCCATGACTGGGTGGTTTAACTTCTCAGAAAGGCAATCAGACCCTATCACAATTATAAATGCATACTCACTTTGATTCAGCAATTCCATTTCTAGGTATTTATACTACAGCTACAGCTATGTGCAAAGACACATTCTTGTTCAAGAATATTCACAGTGGCATTGTATTAGCAAAGTACTGGATGTGACCTAAATGTCCATTAACAGGGACTAGATAGATAAACTATGTGCATTCATACAATGAAACACTGTGCAGTCATTAAACAGAATGAGCTAGTTATAGATGTTGGTGCTGAATGACATCCAAGGTAAATTAAGGTTAAAAAAAAAAAATAAAGACACAGAATGGTATGTATCACCCAAACAGTGGGGGGAGGGGAAAAAGGGGAAAGAAACACATACATGCATGCTTGTATTCACATAGACTATCTCTGGAAGGATACACAAAAATCTGTAAATACTGGTTGCCAGTGGGTTTGAGGTCTAGAAATCAGGAGTATTACAACTTACTTTCCACTGTAAACATTGCAAACCAACTTGTGTTGTTTAAATTTTTTACATGTACGTATACTACTTTAAATTTTAATAGCCTTTTAAAATTAGCCAACTTATTTGCTGCTGTATAAATGAATTTGTTAAAGGAAAATAAGGTTTCCAAGTGCCAAAATTAGGCTCCCAAAACAGCTTTTAAAAGTTCTAAAAAATTCTTTAAACTATAATTTGCTGCTTTCAGTTTATTATAATCAATGAAAATTACACACAATCTTAAACCTGACCTCTTTTTCTGGACAAAGATGTTTACATTGTTGCTAGCCAACAAACCCACATTTGTTAACCTAGTCTTTGTTTTGCTATCTTAGTACTGAAGCTGTTTTAAAAATCTGTTTTCTCTCTTGCTATATTTAAGACATGTTCTATATAAAAGGATTTTCTATTGACCACACAATAAATACGGAATAAAGGAACAAATTTCTTCTTTTCCATTTATATTAATGCTTCCAGGTCAGTTTGGACTAGCCTCCCCGACAGAATAACAAATGAAATGCCTGCTTAGGACAAACATTAGGATGACTCACTAAATATAGTAGCTTCTACTCCAAGCTTGTTCTAAAAAAAAAAAAAAGAAAAAAAAGCTGAGAAAAAATTATTTAAGTATATTCCCAAGTAGGCTGAATACAAGCCTCAGGGCTCAGATTAACTCCCAGGCTCTGTAACTTTGGAGAACCCATTTCCCAGGTCTTGGAAGTTACTCCAAATAAAAGAGAAAATGCTGCTTAACATGGGGATAGAGGTCTTTTAGGGCACTTGTTCAATGTATAATCAAATATGAGAGAAACACTCAATGAAGTTATATTGGAAGGGATACCTAACCAAAACAGGTTTGTCAGTATTGGCTTTCTCAATGTTCTTATACTATGTACTAAACTTCCTGAAAATAAGTAGTAGACACTTAAAAATGAAGAAGTTGAACTCACCTTTAACACTTTTTCTATTAACATCTGCCCCCTTTTCAAGTAAATACTGAGCAATCTCTTTATGTCCTTTGTAACATGAAATCATCAAGCACGTATGCCCATGTCGGTTCGAGACTTCCAAATCAGCTTTGTGTTCTACAAGATACTTCACTATTTCCAGGTGGCCATCGAAACAGGCGGCTCGAAGAGGAGTTGAATTGGTTAAAGTCGTGTTGTTGACAGATGCTCCATGATTTAACAAAGACTGGACCACCTTAAGATGTCCTGCTGCAGAAGCGGCCCATAAAGGCGGAGCCCCCTCAATGGTTTCACCGTCAAAATTCACGGAGCCCCCGACTTCTATGCAGGCACTGCACTGCTCTAGGAGGAACTCCACCATGTCAAGGTGCCCATATCTGGCTGCCATCAAAAGTGGCGTGGCTCCATTTGTTTTTTCAGAGATCAAGGAGGAAACCTCCTCTTTGGATTTGCTTGCCAACAACTTTGTGAGAAGCCGGAGTTTACCATCCCGAGCTGCGTTAAATACTGCTGTCTTTAGATCCATTTATGTCCAGTTGAGAGGCTGTGCTTTATTTATCCTTCAAAGCAAAGTTCCAGCTTAACTCTACCGACACAGGCAAGTGTTACAGGAACCAAAGTTCAATGTTAATCACTGCACCCAAGAACGGGAATAAAACCACGGAGAGTATGTTCTGTCCTACTGCCTTACAACATCTGACAACCCGATTACCAAACTAGAGAAAAGAAGAAAAAGGAAAGTAATTAGCAGTTTCGAATTTCCCATAAAGGCAAAAACACTACTTAGATTTTCTTAATTTCTACTCCGGGGGGGGGGTCATACTTTAGGGACCACTACGCTCCCCAAGAAAGGTGGGAAGGGAAAATATAGAAGGGTACATACAGGGACCCAAATGTTTTGCTGGGAAGCAGTCCCTTCCCTGTGTAAAAAAAAATTTAAACATTCCAAGCAAACTGGTTTTCTCGCCTCCAGTTCCAAACAGCCAAGCTTTGTTCTAGTTTTGCTTTGCACATGCCCAAGGAGAGTACAACCGAAACGAGGCAGGAGGCGCGGGTTCAGAAATGTTTCGCTTTCTCCCATCTGCAGAGAAGAGCGGGCCAAGGGCGCGAGGCTGGAAGGCCTCACTGTGGCCAGGATAGGTTTCGAAAAGGAACAAAAGGACCAGACACACCAAACCTCAGCGAGCTAACGCCAAAACTCTCACCCGAAAGGTTCTCTTTCCTTTAAAACTACTCGAGACTCTCAGGAAACCGGCTGCTTTTCAGGCATTAACTTCGCCCGCCCCATTTTGATCTCCCCCAAGGGATCCTCGGGTTCCCCAAATCAGTTGCCCCTACATAACCTTCACCTCTACCTCCTCCAAACACGGCAGTCCCTCCTCCAAGCTCCTCGATCTACCACGAACCCTCCCGACCGCTCGACAACTCCACGGCTTCCATCCTGCCTCCCGCCTTCCGCTCCCAGGGAGCCCTTCCTTCCCGCCCGGGCCTTCCTGCGAGCGCCTCAGGCCGCGGCCTGGGAGCCGACAGGCCGCCGCCGCCGCCGTCACTACCTGCCCGAAGGCTAGTCCCCTCGCCGCCGCTGGCCGCTCGGTCTCGGGCCGCCCCCTTCAAAAGAAAACCGTTGTCCCCGCCGCCGCCCGGGCCGCCCTTCACCGCCTGCGGTCGCACAGCTCCTCCATACCCCGCGCCCCACAGGAATGAATCCGGCCGTGCCGCTCGCCCCGCCCCACCACTCTGTCTCCTGCCCTCCCTGTCTGCTCGGGCTGCGGCGGCTACAGCAGCTGCCGCGGCGAATGGTGTAATGGACTGCGGGCCGTGGGCCGGACAAGCATAAGCGCTGCTTCCCATCACTGACGCGTCAGCCGCGCCATTGGGCTGGTAGAGGGCGGCGACCTCCACGAGCAACCGCCCAGGGGCGGGGCGGGGCCGATGGGGCGGGGCGATGCGGCGCGTAGGGGCGGGGCCGCGAGCTCCGCGGAGGATGCGGTTGCGTGAGGCGCGGCGGGAACGGGGAGAGGGGGCGGAGTCGTGGCACTGTGGTGGGTAGGAGCCGTGCAGCGCGGTCGGGGGCTGAGGCTGATGAGGGTACGGAATTCTGTAGGTTCTTTCTTTGGTCTTCGGACGCTTTCTTCAGGAGGCTCTTTCCAGTAGTGTTTGGGTCCCATTCCCACATCCCCCAGAAAGTAGTAATCATTATTACTCTCTCACACACATAAACAAGTCCAGAGTAGCCTCTTGTCTCCTTCCTGTAGTCAAAAAAAAAAAAAAAAAAGCCAAATCCATTGCCTTCAAGTTGATTCCAGGTCATAGCGACCCTATTGGACAGAACAGAACTGCCCCATAGAGTTTCCAAGGAGCGGCTGGTGAATTCAAACTCTACACGGCTGAGCTCTTAACCACTGTGCTACCAGGACTCCCTTCCTATAGCAGGTCCTGTAATATATCAAGGTTGTAATTAGACTTCAAAAAAAAGAAAAAAAAGCCACATAAGAAACAAAACTCAACATGAGATTAGTTTTGAAGGCTGCCAAACGTGACTGACTTTCTAATAATATAGACTAGAACCGTAAGACTATGGGAAATGATAAAACCTAAGAGCAGTATAGGGTAAACAAGGTCAGGTTCTTGAATGCCTTGAATAATAAAACCAGGAAATGAAAGGAAGCTAACAAGTGAATAGAATTATGGCCTCATCTACCGTGAAACCAGAAGAACTAGATGGTGCCTGGCTACCGCTACCAACCATTCTAATCAGAGCCACAATAGATGCATCCTGATACAATGGGAGAAAAATGTGGAACAGAAACTCAAATTCCTAAAACAAAACAAACAAAAGAACTAAACAAGCCCCTGAGATCATCATCTTGTAGCTAAATAACAGATTGGCTCACAACATAATGAATATCACCCTTAAGTACTGTGCTCTTTTAAAAAAAAATTACCTATACAAGACCAAATGGTCAAAAATTGCTTACAAAGAAAGATGAGAAGGTAAGGGGGCAGAGAAACAGACCTACCAGAACAGAAATAATGTGAATGCCCACGCTTTGTGAAAAATGTAACCAATGTGATAACACAATTTGTGTAGAAATTGTTGGATGGGAACCTAAACAGCTGTGTAAACCTTCACCTAAAACAATATTTTTTTTTAAAGTTAACATATATGAAAGGAATTACTAACTCACAAAGCAAGAAATAAATTTCTGGAATTCATGATGTTAAGACATGGGATGAATTACACTAGGTTGAATAAGAGTTTAACTGTGTTTGAGAATGACACCCATAATGAATCATGATAGGAAAATACAGTTTTTGAAAAACGGATCTTCAATCTCTTGAATTACTTGGTACCATTGGGAGAAAGAGAATATTGGAGTAGACAATCTGACCCTCAGCATCTTAAATGCAATCACCATCATTATTATTTCAGAAGCCACGCAACATTTAAAGAAATTTCACAAAAATCACAATCAACTTTAGTTCTACATATTCATTTATAGCACTTGTCCATAAGGTTATGTTATTTTGCATAATTGAAATAAAGTTCATAAAACTGTCTTAGTCATCTAGTGCTGCTATAACAGAAATACCACAAGTGGATGGCTTTAACAAAGAGAAATTTATTCTCCTACAGTCTAGTAGGCTACAAGACCAAATTCAGGGTGCTGGCTCCAGGGGAAGGCCTTCTCTCTTTGTCAGCTCCAGAGGAAGGTTCTTGTCATCAGTCTTCCCTTGGTCTGGGAGCATCTCAGTGCAGGAACCTCAGGTCCAAAGGATGCACTCTGCTCCCAGAGCTGCTTTCTTGGTGTTATGAGGTCCCCATGTCTCTCTGCTCACTTCTCTCTTTTATATCTCCAAAGAGATTAGCTTAAGACACTATCTAATCTTGTGAACCTCATCAATATAACTGCTGCTAATCCAGCTGACTACATCATAGTGATAGCATTTACAACACAAAGGGAAATCACACTAGATGATAAAATGGTAGATAATCATACAATACTGGGAATCATGACCTACCCAAGTTGACAGATATTTTGGGGGGACACAATTCAATCCATGACACTTTCTATTTTTCTTTTTTTTTCCCTTGTTGTTGTTAGTTGTGGTGGAGTCAATTCAACTCATGGAGACTCCATATGTGCAGAGTAGAATTGCTCCATGGGGTTTTCAAGGCTGTGAACTTTCAGAAGCAGATCACAAAGTCTCTCTTCCAAGACACCTATAGAAGTGTTCGAAACGCCAGTCTTTCAGCTAGTAGTCAAGCGCTTAACCATTTGTGTCACCCAGGGACTCCTGTTTTTCCCTACCATACTCCAAATACTTCCCATGTTTACAATCAGTGATTGTTAAGGTTGTGTGTCAGCTTGGTTGGGCCATGATTCTTGCTGATTTGGCAGTTATAGTAATGATGTAGTTTGGCAGTTATGTAATGACATAGTTTGGCAGTCATGAAATGATGTAATTTGTAGTTATGTAATGATGTAATCACCCTCCATGATGTGATCTGATGTGATCAGCCAGTTGCGTAAGGGCGATTGTCTTGGGGGTGTGGCCTGCATCCAACATATATATGGATGTTCTGGCAAAGCTCACTTGCTTGCTGTGGATCCTGCATCTGACTCATCATCATCTGACCTCTGGTTCTTGGGACTTGAGCCAGTGGCCTGCTGTCTTACCTGCTGATCTTGAATTCATCAGCCTCCACAGCCAATGAGCCAGTGGCCTGCTGTCTGGCCTGCTGATCTTGGGCTTGTCAGCACCTGCAGCTATGTGAGTTAGGAGAAGCCTCCAGCCTAACACCTGTCCCAGAGACTTGGAACTTGCCAGCAACTAAAATCACGTGAGCCATTTCCTTGAAATAAATCTCTCTCTCTCTCTCTCTCTCTCTCTCTATATATATATGTATATACACACGTATATATATGCTTCACTAGTTTTACTTTTCTAGGGAACCGAGCCTAAGACATTTGATACTGAGAGTGGTTCTAGAGAAATAAAATTGTAAGGATGAGTTTTCCATATTAGTTCTCAAGTATGACTAGTCTTAAAGCTACTAATGACTCTGCCTCCAGTAGTAAAGATGATGCTGCTAATTCATGGTGTGAGGTGGCAATATTAATACACAAAATATTATCAACAATAGACCAAGTATTGGTGAGAAGCTAGGCTCTGGGTGATTGCATGTTTGATATTTTTCTACTATTTTGTCAGAATGAAAAGTATAGGGAAGTTGGTTGGTTGGTCCAACTTTTGCTAGTCAAAGTGGTGAAAAAAGATACGAACTCTAGACTTCAGAGTCGCAGTTCAAGTGCTGCCTAAAAGACCTCAAAGCTGCCACTTGTGCCCTGAAAGAAAGTCTTATTTCTTGTAGTAACAGAGCTGATGTTGCTAAAAATCAAACCCAGAGTCTTATCATAAGAGTAGCAGAACTAAAAGGCCAACTGAATTCCCAACCTCAAATGGTGTGTAAAGTTAAAGTGAGGGCATTGATTGGGAAAAAACAGGATCCTGAAAATTGGGATGGGTGCATATACAGATAATGAGGAAACTGGGAACATTAAGCCCCTAAATTCCATTGAGTCATTCCTGCTAACAGAAGTAGCCCTCTTACTCCCATCTGAAGAGATTACTCCATCTTTGTCTGCTAAGTCACCCTCCCCAGTAAAATCGTTGTCACTTACACACCCATCTGATAAGATTAACCCAGCTGTGTCTGAAAAGCCTTTGATATATCACCTAGGGCATTGCCTCGGGTAGTTGTCTTACCAGACACTGCTGAATGTTCCCAGGACCCACCTACCCACCCATTTTTGCTTCCAGATCTATAACTAAACTTAAGTCCCAGTTAGCTCCAAGAGGTAAAGTACAACGTGTAACCCAGGAGGAGGTACATTACACTCCAAAAGAACTGCTTGACTTTTCTAATATGTACAAACAGAAACCTGGGGAATATGTGTGGGAATAGCTATTAAGGGGTGGGATAATGGTGCAAGGAACATAAAGTTGGATTAGTTTGAGTTTGGGCCCACTAAGCACAGATTCTTCATTCAAAATTTCAGCTTGAGAGGTTATGAAAGGATCTAATAATTTATTTGATTGGTTTTCTGAAGCATGGATTACATGGTAGCCTAAACTAAATCAAGTTGAAGTACCAGGCCTGCCTTGGTGTACAGGGGAAAGAAGGTATCCAAAGTCTTAGAGAAATTGGCATGTTAGAGTGGATTTATCAGGTTATACCACAGACTCACACATAGAGTGCCCGAGGACACAACTTTCACCACAATGGAGGAATACGTTTATGAAGTTAGCCCCACCATCCTTGAAGACTGCTGGGATTGTTACTTTATGTAAGTCATATTTGACAATGGGAACTGCCTTTGAATTAACTGAATTAAAATACCTACCTACAACAGGGCAGATTGGACCCCATGGTGGTAGGGGCCAAGTGGTGGCACTCAGTCAACAAAGACCAAGTGGGAATGGTTACCATAATGGACAGTGGAGCCAAAGCAGTAATCAGAATAATCTGATTCATATGGACTTACGGTGTTGGTTACTTAGTCATGGTGTCCCTAGGAGTGAAATAGATGGGAAATCTACTAAATAGTTACTTGATCTGTACTAGCAGAGGAATTCGAGGTCAAGTGAACAGCAATCTAATTCAAATCACCAGAATAGAGTGTCATGCCTGTCATGGATTGAATTGTGTCCCCCCAAAATATCTGTCAACTTGGCTAGGTCATGATTCCCAGTATTGTATGATTATCTACCATTTTATCATCTAGTGTGATTTCCCTACCTGTTGTAAATGCTATTGCTATGATGTAATAAAACGGATTAGTGGC